AGTCCAATCTTGTGCCCTGCGACACACTTTTGGGGGGAGGGGGCGATACAAACAAATAGCATATGAGCTGACATTGTGCCTCTGAAATTAGCTCATGTCCTTCTGTACTGCATCTAATCCAGTGTTTCTCAACCTTGACAATTTTAAGGCATGTGGACTTCAACTCCCAGAATTCCACAGCCAGCAATGCTGGCTGTGGAATTCTGGGAGTTGAAGTCCACATGCCTTAAAATTGTCAAGGTTGAGAAACACTGATCTAATCTATAAGGACTCACGGACTCAGTTTATAACACCTTGCCTAATCAAATATCCAGGAAATATTGTTATGTTCAGCTACTGTTATCAGATCAGTGTGAAGTACTGTGGCCAAATTCTGCTGTGCTGTATGTAAAATTAGGCAAATTTTAACTGCCCTCTGTTAATCCACCACCAATCGCAATGTATTATTCTGTCTTTATTTTTTTACTATTGTTTTAATGCTTTTATTTGCTGCCCAATTTAATCCACAATTGCAATATATTATTCTGTGTGTCTTTTATTTTTGTTTCTTAGTATTATTATTATTATTATTTAATGCTTTTATTTGTTGGTCTGTGACCGTAATAAAGATTGATTGAGGTAAGAGGCACAGCGAAGAGCAGGCCTCTCCTACTTACTGGCCAATTTGCTATTTCCCTCCTCACTATGCTCAAATCCTTCCTCTGAAGAAATGGGCAGGGCAGGATCTGCATCCTCTCCTGTTGAGAAAGAATTATGCCACTATTCTACTCTCAGTGAAGAACATAGATTTAGATGAAATTATGACTACATTCTGTTCTGTTACTGTTCACAAGTAACTATTTCACTCTGAGCTGTTGCACTAAACCAGGGGTAGGCAACCTTGGCTCTTTTATGATTCGTGGACTTCAACTCCCAGAATTCCTGAGCCAGCCATGCTGAGGGAAAAAGGAGAGGTTCCAAGCTGAGCCATGCTGGCTCAGGAATTCTGGGAGTTGAAGTCCATGAGTCATAAAAGCCAAGGTTGCCTACCCCTGCGATAAACTTTCAAAAGAGCTTAAGTAGCTTACTCTTTCTGGAGCAGTGTCCACTTCATCACTTGGCTGTGCTTTCTCCTTGAGTTCATGTGATAGAAAATGAATTACAAGAATAGATGGAATTTTAACTAGTGGTGGGAAGAATTTTAACTCGTGGTGGAATTTCAATTCTCTGTGGGAGCTTTCTGGAATTGGAATTATTGGAGCCATAGGAGGCACTGGGGTTGTCTCTGCTGTCTGAGACTGCTAGTGTAGAATGCCAGTCCTGAGTTGATCAACTATTCTTACTGTTGAATTATTTAATAAATTAAATGCCCCAAGGCATTTAGGCACAATTTGATTTTGAATAGAGCATGCCCAAAGTAAATGAAATAGAAGCCTGCTGTTCTGATTATGGTCCAAGACATTATTTAACTAATTGATACATGTGCTTTTTCTTAGCAGAAAATTGGAGGGGGGGAGAGAGACAGTGGAAATATGTTATGCTTTATAACTGTATTATGTAGTGACAGAAATTTCAGTTCAAATTGCCACTGTAATCCAAGACTACTTGCAAATTATTTAATAAACAAGTATCCAAAGTAATAGCAGTCATATCTCTGTATGTAATTCTATAGCATCCAAAAAGATACTGGTAGTCCTCAACTTAGGACTGGTCACTTAACTGTTCAGTGTTATGATGAACTTCCCCATGTTTCTAAATAATACTAGCTGAACACACATTTCCCCATAGTCACAAGATCGCATTTGGGATAATTGGCAACTGGTTCTCTTTAATAACTGTTTGCAGTGTCCCATAGTCACATGACTGCAATCTGGGGAAATTATGTTACTGGTTCTACATCCATGGGTTTAATCAGGGCTTTTTTTTTGTCATAGAACACCCAGAACGGAGTTCCGGCACCTTTTTGGGATGGAACCTTGTTGGGTAGGCAAGGCAGGTTATATGACGTGTGTGAGTTCCGGCACTTTTTTTTTTTTTTTTAAACAAAAAAAGCACTGGGTTTAATAAAGGTAGATACTCTTTTTCTTAAATAAATTAATGATTTTGAGTGTTTTTTAAAACCACATAGCCATAGGTTTCATGAGGAAGATGAGGAAAATTGAATAGGAACATAAAAGTTTTTAGTGCAGAATGAACAAATCAATATTTCTTTCTCAACAGAAGAAAATTGTATGCCTTGTGTGCCATGAGCCAGTAAGTATCCCTCCCACAATATAATGTCTGATTATATTTAGAGGCAAAAAAACTAATGGGGGAAAACATCAAAATTGTTATTTTATTTAAGTGACCTTTAAAGTTGCAAGGAAAATTATTGTCAGAAAATGATCAGACTTACTGATCAGTTAGCTGAGAAATTAAACAAATTTCTCATTTATTAGCTGTTGATAAAAACACTGACAAAGCACATTTCTTCATTTTGATAAGAGGAATCAATACAAAGTTTAAAATTACCGAGGAAATTGTTAGAATGTGCTCCATAACTAGTTACACAACTAGAAAAGCAATTTGTAATGTCATAAAATGTTTACCTGCTCTTTAGATCCGTGCCGCTCCTGACTTCTTGAAGCAGCCCAGTTTGGAGGGGAGGCTGTTGTGTGAGTAGGTTCTGGTAGTGGTCAACTTTTCTTTCGAGCAAGTGAGATTCCTTTGCATCTTAAGGAGGCTTTGGTTTGCTCCCTGATCAAGAAGTCATCACTGGACCTCACTATACTAGACAATTTTCATCCAATATCTAACCTCTCCTTTCAGGGAAGGTGTTGAGAAAATGGTTGACTGGATGAGCAGCAGGCCAGTACAACATGGTGCTATGTAAAGCAATGGGTTCTTTTCTGGAGATCTTCAAATTGAGGTTGGTTATTTGTTGAGCGGATGGAAGGGGATGCCCACATCATTACACAAGATGCTATAACGGTCTGATATCTCTGAAACAGTTGCTGACTCCTGACTTGAGTCTTGAGTCTGCATCTTGGACAGCAATCTGTGTCTCTCACTAGCTTTGAATCTTGTATCAAAAGATTGTTGCATTCTGGGAGATCACGTAAGAACAGAGAGATTGTTTGTGTCCCAGGCTTGGGAGTTAAATTAAGCCAGTTTGAGAACAGCTGTAGGTTTCCTGCCTGATTAAGCTTAGCCTCTTCCTGTTAACAGGCTGTGGGAATAACCTCAGAAGCAGGAAAGGCTGTTGGTTGTCTAAACATGATTCCCCATCCACTTTGAAAAACCACATTGAAGTGTTTTTCTGGAAAATAATTCATCAGTCACTTCTGCATACTGTGAACATGATTAACCTGTGAGCCATTGATATAGAATAGAAAAATATTAACAAACTTCTATGGACTTGGTCTGTTATTTTATTTTTCATGTTTCTTAAAACAAAAATTAATACATTTTTACAACAATTTGAGTAGTAGTTTTTTTCTGTAGACTTAATACAACAGTTAATGCCAGCACCAAAAAGTCATAAGAATTGTTCTGTACTGTATATTTGGTTTTCAGTCTTGCTTACAGTGCTGTCTGAAAACACTGAGTACAATAGATTGCAGCTTTCGTTACTGAGTGGGTTACATTTGGTATTTAAAAATTGTTTTTGTCAGTGCATTTTTGTTTATTTATTATTGCAGTCTTCCATTCCTTTTACATATTATAAGTACTGTAAGGTAACAAGGTCAAATTCATAACCTCTCACCCAAGTGAATCTTAACATTTTATTTTCATATTTCTATACTGCCATCATGAACTGAAAAATACCCTAATGTTGAAATAATGAAATGGTAGAACTTTATATCCCCCCCCCGGGCCATTTACAGTCTTGAATTGAAACAAATAATTGAACAATCCATTTGAAAAACAAAATGTAAACCTTTATACAAAGAGGAAACAAACTATTCCAGTTCAAAGTTTAATTAGCAGTTCAGGTCATGGTCCTGAATATAAATACTAGAGATACTTAACAAGTGTATTTTACTGTACATCTGAAATTTTCGAAGACTAAAAAAATAAATGGAAATCTGTTTCATTGAAAGGTATTAAATCTTGTATTTTGAGAGTGGTGTTTCTAAGCTCCCTATCATCGTCATCAGAAACAAAAATCTCACAAGCTTCATCATGGCAAGCATAATTGTATCAGTGTTGCAATAATATTGGTTATGCTGTTTGATCAGCACAATACTGAAATCTCTATCCTAAACACTTTTTTTGGTAGCAGAATGTTTCTGCAACAGATCATACATCACATTAGTATTGCTCTCTTGGTCTTTAAGCATTTGGTGGTTTGGGGATGGTTTGGGAGGTGTATTGATACAGTGAACTAATCTTCTGCCATGGGTTCAAGATGTTGCGTTCTTTGGAAGGCTCACATGAGTGTTTCAGACTATCTGTGCATTTGTGGTGCACATATCACCCGTTGGTTTTGTTTGCAGTCTCAGTGAAACAGTTATTTGTGGATGCACTGCCACCTGAGGACAGCCTTGGAAATTACGCTGCAAATTTTCAAGAAGACATGTCTGCTTTGCTTTACAGCAGTGGTTCTCAACCTGTGGGTCGGGACCCCATTTGGGGTTGATCGACCATTTCATGGGGGTCACCAAGCAAGGCTGTCCGCCATTTTTTTTGTCCACCATTTTTTTTCCCTTTTCCGGCGGGTGCCTTACCTCCCTTGGGCTGGGCCAGCTGGTGGTCGGCCTGCTCCGTCTCTGCCGCTTGCCAGCTACGCCTCGGCCGGCGCAGGGGGCGGAACCACGCATGTGCGGCGCTCCCGGGCAGGGAAAGTCCTTGACTTACGACCGGTTGGGTAGTCCTCGACTTACGACCGGTTTAGTCCTTGACGTACGACCGGCTTAGTCCTCGACTTACGACCGGTTGGGGTCGTGGCATTAAAAAGGTTGAGAACCACTGCTTTACAGTAATGTTTCAAGGAGGGGTGTTTTGTTTATGTTTGTCATACTTTGCAAGGCAAATTTTCAAATGCTTTGCACAACTCCATTATATTTAAAACCTGGCCTTTAGGCTATGAATATAAGATTTAATGACAGCAAAACTTTAAAGACCTTGATTACTTGTACTCCCTGGAACATAATATGTCTTGTGTCATAGAATATCATAACCTTGTTAATGCATTAACTAACTCATGTTCCGGTTTGTGAGATACAGTGGACTGGAAACTAACTATCTGAGTTAGTTTAGCCATGCAAAAGCAAATCAAGGCTAACACTAATTCAGCATTTTGTACAAATGCAGCTGTTAAGACTTTAACTGACCTGGTTAAACATGTTGTATAAAAGCAGTCATGAGGTGCTTATGGCTATTGCCAAACACCATCCATGTACTTTATCAGAGGAAGTAGTTATAGCAACAACTATAGTATGCTTGCATTTGATCAGCTGGCTAAATACAATGGAATCTGAACTATCATTTTTGAGCTGATAATAGCATAACAGCATTAACAATATTGGTTGGTCCAACTGAATGACATCCTATAATTGTTGAAAATAAAGATTTAGACAAGGCTTTCCAGAGCTTTTCTAGTTTACTGAATAAATATAATTAAATGCTCTTCCTTTCTGAAGTTAAATGCTGATGCCTGTTTTGAGTTTAGAATTATATTTTAGGAATAAGATTTATAAATAAGATCTGCTCCTCTCAGCTATTAAAATAATATAATTTAGATCAATCAATTTTAAACAAACTGTAAAGGCTTATAATAAATTAATGTTTTAATATCCTTTGGAGTAGAAATTGGTACAGTTTTCATAAGAACAGGATTGGAACTTGGAACAGATTAAGAGCCCTAATGAACAAAGCTAAGCTGTTAGCACTGTTTATGAGAAATACTATACAATTACCATAGGTGGTCTATAACCACTAAAATGCCAGCTTGGAATGAATTTTCACATACTTTCTATGGTAGAAATTATGTATGTCCTTTCATTCTAGCATTTTTAACTGCATGCCAGTATAAACCTTTTTTAGGAAAGAAGAAAGGAAACAAAATTTTAATCTAAAAAAACCCCTCAGTTTTATGACTGGCACAAATCAAATTGTTGTTATGTTAAAATAAAACAGAGTTATGAGTAAACAACTCTTTTAGAAGAAATGCATATGTTGTTTAACTTCTTGAAAATATGATACAACTGTTAGATGAGAGCCCAGTTTAGTGATGAACCTGCAAAGATAAAAAGGGTCCATAAATATTCCCTTTATTTTGTTTCCATCAGCAAGGAGATTGGTTTAAGGATGGAAAATTATAGGCTTCTACATATTCTTTTTCATATGTTTAGCCAGATTTCGATTATATGTATTGTTCTTTCCAATATATGGGTAATCTTGCAAATAGAAATGCATTAATTCAGAATCCACTTGGATGATGCTATAATATAGATGCTTCCTCCATGGCTTCAATCCATCTGAAAAAAAAAAAAGAATCAAAATTTTATTTTCAAGGAAGCCAGTAGAAAATGTCTTTAACAAATGTTGATTTTGAGAATTGTTGAGCTCTATTTTTCATCTAGTGCATTATAGTGGGAAAGCCAGCTATCTTTCTTGTTGGTTAACTAGAATTATAGAAAATAATAAAAAAGATCTATATGCTGCAGTAAGTATATGGAGAGATACATATATAAGTTTAATGCTACACTTTTTAAAATATGTTTATTGTGTAAGAAATTGCATTGACCTCTCCCCCATTTAGGATTCTTCTTTGCATGTCCAATGTATTCAGTTAGTTATTATAAATTATATCATAAATGTGAAAAATGAGAGTATTGAGCATTTTCCAAGAAAAAAAATCATTTATTTACACAATTTCTGTGCCCATTCCTATATGAACACTAGCAAATATTCCTGTCTGTAGCTTTCCTGTCTATCTCCAATTCCAAATGTGGGAAAGACCTATTGAATTCATTTCCTAATTAAGATCCATTGGATTGAGTTGTATGCACTGAAGGTATTGAATTCCAAGAGTGCATGAATGAGTTAATATCTACCAGATTATTGTATGGTGTTCCTACATCTTTTCAAGCAGAGCATTATTGAGTATTTCTAGGGTTGCAAAAATGTAATGAGCATTGACCACAAATAAAAGAAATGTATTTATATACACAAAGCTACCTTGTCTATATTTGATTAACTGAAACCATCCCCAGCATTTTGCCACAGCCAAGTTGTTAAAGTTTATTGACTCTTTGTGTTAAAGCTGGCATTGCCAAAAGTTTACACAAAAGCAGTTTAGTAGCATTGAAAACGCTTGTAAGAGAAATGAGAAGCACTGCAGGCATTTTTCACTGGTTAGTATGTTATCACAGGCAGATCAACACCTAGTACCTCTGTGCTGAATTATTATCCTCTGCTCGGAAGCTATAAAACAGAGTTTGCTTGTGGTAAAGATGGAAAACTGCATCCATATTTCGATCTTCCTTTTCTGGGACAATTGTGAAACCCAGCAAAGGCAAACTCTCAGTGGCGACTTTGTCCTGAAATCAGTGCAGAAGAGGAAATGGGCTTTAGAGGAAGAGAGGACTTACACACAGAGAGGAATGCTCTCGGAAAATAGAGAAACTCTCCTTTGTTTATCCAGATTTGAATGATTGCTAGTAAAATTTAAATAAAGTTATGTTTCAAATAATACCACGGGGATTTTCCATCGGATGGTGCTTGAGAAATAAATGGCGGGCTTTAGTATTTTCCAGATTTGGAAAATATAATAGCTGAGCTTCTAGCAACTACATCAGCACATACATTTGGGTTTCTTGGGAATGGTACACAAGTGATTTGCCATTGCTTTTGCTCAGAATTTTGTTCTGAATTCTCAGTCTCAATGTCACAGACCTGGGATATTTTTGGTGGACTCGCACCCAAGAACTAAACTGATCCAATTCTACTTATTTTTTACAAGACCAACCAAGGCTGGTAACTGCTATAATCTGCTGCAACGAGTAAAGACTCCTTTGATGGACACATTCATGTAGTTTTCGTGGCAATTATACCGAAACAATTTATTCCAGTATGTTTTTGTGACTTTCCTGCCTTGCCTAAATTCTAAGATTTTCAGTCACTAAGCAGCTCTGCCTAGTTTGACTTTTTCAAAACTAACCAACCTCATTGGTATTAAAAGTATACATAATAATAATAATAATAATAATTTTAATAATAATAATAATTTTAATAATAATAATAATTTTAATAATAATAATAATAATAATAATAATAATAATAATAATAATAATAATGTCAATCCTGTGTATGTTGTAAGTTCTGAGTAGCTTGGAAACACTCCCCTCCCCCCCAAACCAAAACTTACTTCATTTGCTGTGTATGTGTAGAGCACTTTTCCTTTGATAACAAACCACAACTTTTTCCAGTGCCTTTTCCCTCTCTTGCATCTGCTGAGATACCCATTGATAGAAGAGCCTTCTCCTGAAGCTGCCACCTACATGAATGATGAATGAAGGAGAATCAAAACTCTAGTAACAATAAATACTTGGGAATTGAAGAGATCTAAATGATCAGGAATCCTCCTCACGTTCATACACTGTATATTGAAGATTTATACGTTTCCTAAACAAGCATTCATACTGGTTGCAATGACATAGAACAAACAAACACTTTTATTTTTTGGACCATATAGATGTGTAGGTTATTAGGCATTTTATTAAAATGACAAAACAACAGTCTTAGTATTCTGTTATTATGCTTTTATGTGTATTTAAATTGGGACTTTTATTTTCACAAAACAAACCAGGATGATGATTTTGGAAGCATATCATTGTATCAGAACAACACATATAATGAATATATATCCTAATGGAATATGTAAGCCATATTTGGTGTAGTGGGTAAAGGCATCAGGTTACAAACTGGGATACCATGAATTCTAGTTCTGTCTTAGGCACAAAGTCAACTGCGTGATTTGACACCAGTTACTCTCAACCCTAGGAAGAAGGAAGTAGCAAATCACTTCTGAAAAGTATTGCCAAGAAAACTGGTCCAAGTCATCCAGTTGGTTTCTGCACCTAAAGCAGGACTGAATCTTGGGGGTTCCCCATGTCCAGCAAGCAGCGTAGACCGAATTATTTGGCCGTGTCTGTAACAATAAATAGATATTTCTATGGAAAACATTGGTATATCATTGTGAAAAGGGAGACCTATATCTTACAGGTATTTTGACACTAGGGACTTCTGAATAAAAAAAATACGATTAGTATCAGCCTATGCTATAATTTTGATCTCTTTGCATAATCCATTGCATTTGAAACCTTGAGACTGACATTTATTTGGATAACTACATAGTGCCCTCTTGTGGTGTCAGAGAAGGATTGAAACAGATCACAACATTGATGGGAAAGTAAGTCATTAAGGAAATGATTAAATGAATTATTGCACGTAGTGATAAGAATTTATTTTAATTTGACTTTTAACATTATGTAAAGAAAGCTTTTATTATTATTTTAAGTGATATTTTCAAGGGGAAATATGATTCTGGGTGATCTCTCCCTTCTCCCTTTCCTTGAGAAGAGAGAGAGAGAGAGAGATACACAACAGAAAACCAGAGTTGAAAGAGACCTTGGAGGTCTTTTAGTCCAACCCGCAGCTCAGGCAGGAGACCCTATACCAGGGGTCCTCAACCTTGGCAACTTTAAGACTTGTGGACTTCAACTCCCAGAATTCCACAGCCAGCAAAGCTGGGAGTTGAAGTCCACAAGTCTTAAAGTTGCCAAGGTTGAGGACCCCTGCCCTATACCATTCCAGGCAAGAGGCTGTCCAGTCTCTTCTCAAAAGCCTCCAGTGATGGAACACCCACAACTTCTGAAGCAAGCAGTTCCACTGGTTAATTGTTCTCACTGTCAGAAAATTTCTCCTTAGTTCCTGATTGTTTCTCTCCTTGATTAGTTTCCATCCATTGTTTTTTTTGTCTTGCCCCCGGATGCTTTGGAGAATAGGTTTATCCCCTTTTTTGTGGCAGCCCTTCAGATATTGGAACACTGGTATCATGTCTCCCCTGGTCCTTCTTTTCACTAGACTAGATTTCAGATCTAAAATTCTTTCTTTGCAGAAGAATTCCCTAATAAAGGAGAATATTTGTAGCTCAGAATTGACATGAGGGGTCCTTGGTGCTCTCTGAGCTTGCTTGTTTTCTTGCAGACTTCATTACCCAAACTAGGTAACATCATCAGTGCTGGTCACTGAAGAAGGGTTACCCCCACACCTTCCCCCCCCAAAAAAGAGATAATGGTGCACCAAGCTGTCCAAATGCACATTATAATTAGTATGAATGATCACATAGCAAATAATGTCCTGTCTGCAATTTCATTTCATTGTGGGGTGTTTTTTTTGCAGGTATCGTTAATCTTACCTCTAAAAGAGCTGAAGGAATTTTCTTTTGTCTTTTGAAGGAAGAGTAGTGGATATTGTGGAACACAGAAGAGAAGGCACTGCCTGAAAACCTGGATGAACTTGTAGGGAAGCTTATGCTGATCGGCCGCTCTGCAATAGTAGAAATGGGAAAGGTTTATTTGATACAGTATATGACTTCAGGCTATAAGCACCTTATTGTGGGCAACGTGTCATCTCGACATGTTTGGATCCTTAAATTTTATCCATTGGTTCTGATCAAGTTAAAACCAAGCTGCAAGAAAAGAAATCTCCCTCTAATCAAAGCTATTTTCATACAGTTTGCTTCTGAGATAAATTCTGAATAGTGTGGATTTCATTAACTTCACATTTAACAATACAAATGGGTTATATAGATATAATCCTCAGGAAGTTGGGCTATATCTAATTGTGTCCCACCATCATAGAATAAAAGGTACTACCCTTCTAACCAGATCCCAAATATGAATGAGCTCCACAAGGTTCCTGTTGAAAATGTTGGATACTAACAAGAATATTGGTTTCTGTTCGAAGGGAGGGGAAACTCCTGACAGAAACAGAATAACAGAATTGGAAGGGACCTTGGGGGTTTTCTAGTCCAACCCCTTGCTCAAGCAGGAGACCCTATATCATTTGAGACAAATGGTTGTCCAATCTCTTCTTAAAAACCTCCAGGGTTGCAGCACCCACAAATCGCAAAAGTTATCTTTGCCTCTTTGTGCCAACAGAGACCCCAATGTTTCCAATGGGCAAAAAGGATTCACCTCTGCTTTTCAGTTCTGTATAGCAGCCATCACAAACTTTTGCTAGTCGGTCTTTGAGGTACTTCAGAGGATACTTGTTTCTTGAACAATTTCGGCATATAATCTACATGAACACAAGATGCAATACACACTGTCTAAGTTAAATCAGAAAAGTATGAATCAAAGTTGGAAGTGACTGGAAGATCATTCAGTTCTAATGTCATGCAACACACACACACACATGCACAAATACATGTACATAAATGTTAATTGTTCTATGAAATTTGCCCTTCAATTAAGATCAACTCCCTGAATATGAGGATAGGGCCCTATTCACCTTAATATTTAATTCATTTTAATATATCTTTAACATTACAGTAAAATGCAGTTGTTACATTTATTGCTCGTTATAATGAAACTGCTTTGTATTAATCTAAAATGGATGATTGTATAATACCACTAGTGTTAGAGCAAGGATCAGCCATTACAGGCCTCTTTCAAGTGTTGAAGAATGATTGATATCCGAAGACGTCAGACATTGCACATAAAGATGAAGTAAGGAGCTGTAATTCCAAACAAGAAATAACAGTCACATCTGTCACAGAATAGACAGATGGACAGAACTATGATAATTTTATTTTATGAAGTGACTAAGACAGGATCAATTCTGTATGACATTCTTAAAGTAACCACACTATTTATATAAAATTTATTATTTAAATTTATACTGTAAGGCTGCCCAACTCAACACTGATTCCGGATGATGTTCAAATTAAAAACAGACTCAGTATCTAAAAACAAAACAAAAAGTAACTATAATGGGAGAAAAAATATACGCTAATTTAAGGAGACACTGAATTGCCAAACTGGCATCCTATCAATCAATCAATCAGAATAGAGCTGGAAGGGACCTTGGAGGTCTTCTAGTCCAACCCCATGCTCAAGCAGGAGACCCTATACCATTTCAGACAAGTGACTGTCCAGTCTCTTCTTAAAAACTTCCAGTGATTAAATTAAATTAAATCAAATCTCTAATCAAATTAAATTGGTTTATTACAGCCCCAAAGCCAGATACAATAAGATACTTAATAGTAAAATTGCTAAATACTTCTCTATAAAATAGAAAAACAGTAAGCATAACAGGATCTAAAAATAATTAAGAAGTTGTAAAATAAAACAAAATAAAATAGTGTTATAAGAAGTTCCAAACTTAATGGTTGTACAAATGGTAGCACAAATCTGGGTGGCTTGGGAAGATATTTTTGAGACCTTGTCCAATATAAGTTACATTAAGTAGAAATTCAATTTCCTACTGGAAATTTCTTCAACATTTGATAAATGAAGGTCTGTTTAGAGTATAGCGCAGTAGCATATGGCTTAGTGTTTCTAGTGAGTCATCATCACACACCGGAAAGACATAGGAGTACCGAAAGGACAGATGAAGGCAATGCATCCAGCCTGAAGACCTTGTGAAATTTCAGAATTGTAATGGATGGTAAATATCGTAGGAGGTTAGAGTGAATCCTTTCAGCAGAATATAGTATATATTTGAGTATAATACCTTGCTTAAATTTCTTTGGAGATTTATATTCCAAATTCATTAACTGAGGTCAGTTCTAGCATTCTTAATACATAATGAGGGCAGACTTTCCAGAGTTCACTCAATGAATTTTATCTAGAGCTTTTTAAAACTGTGACGATTTAAACCCATATCTAATTACCAACTGGCCAAACTGTATTTTGTGGAGCAGCTGCTTACTACAGACTATTTTAAACTGGTAATAAATTGATGGGAATTGTATGTACTATAATAAAGAGATATTGACCGGAAGTTTCTTTGCTGTCAAGGATCCAGTTCTAGTGAGATACTTACCTTCCCGCATGCATGGCAATGATGACGCCTCAGCGTGAGTTTAAAGTCACAACCGCAGCTCATACACATCATGACGTGAGACACAGGTACCAAAGTTGGTGGCCTCTCACCCAAAGACATTCCCAGCCTTTCCCTAAGCTGAAAATAAAATACAATGGCTTATTTTTAGCCTTATGATGATGTAGAAGTGACACCTCATCTGAATCACTTCAATAGATGTTTGTAAGGAGTTTAGTGCTGGCCTCCATGTTCAACTGAAATGTCACAATGAGAAAGATACTTACTTTCTGTAAAATACAATAAGAGGTTTCTTTAAGATAGGCAAGTTCAAGTTTGTGGCCTACAGCCATATATATATATATATATAACCTTTACACTCTCATGAGCATTCCCAGCATCCACCGAATGCTTTTGGAGTGGCAGGGATAAATATTTGTGCTTACTTATAAAAACTTTTGGAAAAAAAGAATTAAAGTGTGAAATGGTTACCTGAAGCTGCTTCCCCCGCTTCCCCCATCTTCCCAAAAACAAATCAAATTTTTTTTTGTTTCATACACTCCTATATCACCATAATGTCCCTAGCCACATCTTTTGTGGCCCTGGGAGAAAAACATTAAAAATGGAACCCTTTTCTTTAAATGAATACCTGCACAGAAATAATGAAAGTTGTTTTGGTCACAAAACATAGACAGTGCCATCTGGAATAGCTATTTTGCTGATATTTTCCACCTCCCTTTTATAGAAATTTTGGGATAAATTAAGAAGCAATTCCTAGAGCCTTAGGGGCAAATATGTACGCTCCTATTTTGGAATTTTTTTTTCTGCCAGTGCTATTAAAAGGGTAGGTATGTTAGATGAAACAAACATATTTTGTCCAATGGTTCCTCCCCCTAAAAACATGAAGTGAGAAGCAACCCAATATATGAACTTGTTTTTAGAATATAGTCATACGGATGAATCTTCTTTCTTCCAGCATATTCATATTTCCAGCTTGTTCTGCAAAATATTCTATACTTTTCTAAATAAATTCCCTTTCAGTTCAGAACAAAAAGCACCAGTATCTTCCACTCCCTCAAGAACTTAACTTGATGAGTTTTTTTTTAAATGAAGCCTTTTATATAGCAGAATCCCAATTAAAGATAGCCTTCCTCACAGAAATTAGTCAGATAATAACAAATAATAATAATAATAACAAAAGTAAAATAAACAACAAATGAATTAAAATAGTAACATTCCAGCAGCAACCTCTGTCAGCTGAATAAGGAAAACCTACATAGTAATGCAATAGCTTTTGGCCTTCAGCCTTGCTAAAAAACAAACAAACTTGAAAATAATCTAAACAAGACTTCTTTTCCTAAACCTATAGGAAATATAGGTCACAGAACTGGGGGCGGCCGGGGGGGGGAATATTCTCTTACTTCAACACTGTTGTGAAAACCACCTCCGCTGTGAGCCCCATAGTCTTCTGGGATGCTTCTGCTGATGCAGCTGTACCACTCATCCCTTTCGGAGCATGAGCTGCCGAGAGAAAAGAAGGGATCAGCTTGATCCAAGCTACAACCTGCTATTATTTAATGACTGCATTTTCTTTATAGGCGTGCCGGCCTTGTCCCCGTTTCTAAAGCAGCAGAGAACTCTGAAATGTTCACTTTCCAAAAGTTGACAAGTAGAGAATGAGGAGTGCCCTTACATTCATCACAATTTGTTAATATGCTTTTCAATAATACAGAAGGATTAGAAAAGTGGAAAATATAGACACACATTTTTGCAAACTGGTCATTAGAGGTCACTGTTTACTGTGAGAACAAGCAGAGGCCTCAGCTAGTGTTGTGTTCTGATTTTATCTTTCTTTGTTGAAATTTCAACTCAGTTTAACTCTGTTGTTTAATGGGCACCATATGAATACTTGTTATCACCCTTGCCACATTCATGTCAATTGTCAAGAGACTCAGCGGTAGGTTGTGTTAACTTTAATTCATTGTAAAAGTAGGGTGGGAATAAATTCAGATTCCTGAAGAATCTGAAAATTCAGGAAATTCTGAAGATTCCTTAAAGCATGCAGAAGGCCTTGGGTCATATCTCAATCCAATTTTCCTCCCTCAAGGAACGGAGACCCAATTTGGGCATTGCTTCTTAGGGAGTGTGCAGTTTTATCTCCCTGATTTTTATCATACATCCTCCATTTTGCAAACTGTACACTTGAGGGGCAAGGGCAAGGCATTTTCCCATTGTGGGAATTGAAGCCAACCCCTGCTTGTTCCTTCCCTGATATGGCCCTCTTCCATTGTAGTTCCACTGCATCCTTGTAGAGCTGGAAAGCAGATTTGCTGCTAATGCTAAGCTTTTCTTTTGCTTTTGACTTGAGTTTTTTCCCCTGCCATAAAAAGAAACATGGGAAGAGAAAGATGGAGACAGGAGGGATGGTCCTGGCCGAGTGCCCATTTTTGCACTTCCTCGTGGTTTATCTGGAGAGAACAATAGTTGGCATGCCTGGAATTCACAGCAGCTGCAGTGAGAATTATCAAAGGCATGGTGAGGATGTTTCTGAGGGGCTGAAGAATGTTTGGACCATAATGATAGTAGCTCTGTCAAAGTGCATGAAGACATAAGATGTTCATGTGGGGAAAAACACAGTCTGATCAATGACACTTGGCTGAGAGTAAATCTTTTCCCCCTTGAATAAGCACTTATCTGTGAAAACATCAGCTGCTATAAAACTCAATAATCCTACTGGCAAGAAGGCCAAAAATAAAGGCCTGAAAAGATATTGAACATCACTTCTTGTCTCTTATTTGTTTTCCACAAACATTCTTTCTTTGCTCCACAATCTCTGTTTGCATGGTGACTTCTACATGTAATATCCCAGATATCTGTGGGGCTAGCTTTATTTGGCAGGAATCTGGTGCTTTTATTGATCGTTCAAAAAATAAAAATGATATGGAAAAGTTTTTTGGCTCATCTAATACTCTAGCTCAGAGGTCCCCAACCTTTTGGGCACCAGGGACCGGTTCCCTGGAGAGGTTTTTCCATGGACCAGAGGGTGCGTGGTTTTGTGTGCTGCCTGCATCCCACAGATGGGGCTGTGCTTTGCAGACCGGTTGCTTACATGCCGCGGCCCGGTACTGGTCCATGGACTGGGGGTTGGGGACCCTTGCTCTAGCTGTTAGAGTGCACCTTGCCTTCTGCACTGTACTAAGGTTAGCAGAGTTTCCTTAGCAAAAAATAATTGGCAGCCTATAGATCCAAATTAGCTTGAACCTATAGGTATCAAATGTGTGTCAAGATGCAAAATACATGACTTTCATAATACTTGCATCAGCTGTTAGGGCAGAGCTATATAAGGGTGGGATTTGCATCATAATATGCATGGCATCATTTTATCCTAATCTTGGTCTCTTGCGGATGCCTATGCTGGAACTTTATATGCAGAAACTAAGGAAATAGTTTAGAATAACTTAGCTACAAATACATTTTCAAATTTATACTTTATATGTCTGTTGCCATTATAGTGAAATAAGCAAAGGATAAAGGGGATGATTAAAAAATGGAAATATAGGTTTTAAAAAATCATTCTGCAAACAAGTTACTGGTACTATCAGCTCAGTGTCTCTATGCAAAAGCTACTGACTCTCATCTCCTGTAACTTACTTCTGAAGTTTGTGGGAATGCTTAGAAGTTAGGTCTATGGAGTTTAGAAGTATGGGACATGAAGTAGGAGCTATTAAACCAAGGATGCACAAGTGATGGTCCTCAAGACTCATGTAGCCATCCACACTCCTTTTAAATATTTCATAATCCCCTGGAAGCCAACATCTTTGGTCCTTGCAGACACATTTAAGGCATCCATTTTACATTTTACATTTCCATAACTTGATTTGGGCTTTACTATGGAAAACAACTGAATCTCTCTCTCTCTCTCTCTCTCCAGAGCAGGACAGAGCAGGGGAAATTAACCTAGCCTTGAAACCAGAACAGAAAGGAATCTGTTACGCATTCCAGTGTCATAGTAGGCTTCCATAGCACCCTGAAGTTAGCTAAGTGATTAAAGTTCTCTTATCACAGCAATACTATTTGATTGTGACTAAGAGTACTATGCACAAACTAAGCCAGAGGGTCTCACAGATACCCTTTAATTACTACCTCCAATATCAGTTAGCTATATAGCTAACTGATATTAGAAATAGTAATTACAGGGCTATCTAACACTGTTATTCAGTGTTTTTAGGTAGCATTCTTCCACTCTTTAGTCTATGTCTTTCAAAAAACTTAATTATAACATTTACATCTTTCAAATTTTTGTTTTTCAAGTATTTTCTAGGAATTATGCATTGTATATATACACATCAGCATGCAAATGTTTTCCACAATACATTTGGGGGCATATTTTCTGCTGGAACATGTTTTTATATGCAACTTCCCTTAATATATTACTGCTTTTGCAAATTATTTTCCAGATTGTAATATACTTATATATACCTCCCCGTAAGATAACTAATTTTGTATTTATGTACTGTACATATCCACATCATGCTTTTCCTCTTTTGGGAATAAGTAATGTGACACAAAACACAGAGTTAGAAATAGCAAGCTAAGACATTAAAAGCAAGAAAAAGAAAGAAAGAAAAAAGAAAGAATAATTAAATATAGTTTATATATACACTTTTTCTTATATTGCTTTACATATCTCCGTCCTTGCAGACAATTTTTCCTTCCATCTCATACATACACCACTTTATACATTGCCTTTTGTTCTTTCAGGTTCTCACTTCTCTCTTTTGAAGTTCTCATCAACCATGATTTATTCTTCCTCTTTCTTTCAATCCCTCTTCTTTCAGCTCCATTCATCCTTTCTCTAATATCATATCACCTCAACATACTGCTGAAGGGTGCAAGATTAGAGCAAGCTATCAGGCATGCAGATAGACCAAAGTTTAGGAAAGTGAATTTAATTTCAGTACAGGTGATCCTCGACTTACAACAGTTTAGTGACCGTTTGAAGTTACAACAGCAGTGAAAAAGTGACTTATGACCATTTTTTAAATGGGGCAAAACTCACGTTTGTGTGTGTGTGTGTGTGTGTGTGAAGATTGAACTGCTATGATGCCTGCTAGCTTCTGACACTAATCAAATTGCCATAGAAAAGAGGGGAGGGGTAGAAAATGCAGGGAGGAAAGGGAATTCCAAGAAGCTGTTCACGGACCGTGAGAGCCTGCAAGAATTATTATTATTATTATTATTATTATTATTATTATTATTATTATTATTATTATTATTATTATTATTATTATTATTATTATTATTATTATTATTATTATTATTATTAAACTTATATGCCGCCCTTCTCCCAACAGGACTCAGGGCGGCTTACAGCATATTAAAACAATACAAATACTATCCCCAATAAAAGCCAATTAAAAACAAATATTTAACCGCTGTGTTATATTAAAATTCTAATTAAAATTGTCCCTATTTAAAATTCTCCCTAGGCCAGACCCGCTTGCTGGAAAAGCCATGTCTTGAGGGCGCGGCGAAAAGATAGGAGATCTGGAATCGTCCGGATCTCGGGGGGTAGTTCGTTCCAGAGGGTGGGGGCACCCACAGAGAAGGCCCTCCCCCTGGGGGTCGCCAGCCGACACTGCTTGGCCGACGGCACCCTGAGGAGGCCTGCTCTGTGGGAGCGTACCGGTCTGTGAGAGGAAATCTGTGGCAGAAGAATGCCAAGGTCACTAACACAGGTGCTCGATGAAGAAGTGGACTGTTCCCATAACAAAAAGAAGTATTACTATTGGACAATGTGAAAACCCGGTGGGTGGGGGCAAGAGAATCTATTGTTTAACTAAGCAAGTTTTTGTGCGGGAAAACCAGAGCTGGTTTGCTTCTTCAGTTCCAAGATGGTGTATCCAATAAACGTTATCTTTTATGGCACTCATTTGCCTTGAAGATTCCTTCTTTTGGGTTTGCTTGTTGAACAGTTGACAGTGTGTTTATGTGTGTGTGTGTGGGTGGGTATGTGTGTGTGGGTGTGTGTGTGTGAGAGAGAGAGAGAGAGAGAAAGAGAAAGAAACTGATCATTGTGTGAATGTGATCATTGTGTGCTTGAAACTGTATAATAATACAATAAACACACACACACACACACACACACACACACACACACACACACAGAGTTTCAGTTATAATTTCTGCAGTACAACCTCAAATCAAGAGCCGAGCATAAGATTAAATAACCTAAGCTAGAATCACACAAGATCTGCTTCTATTTGCTGAGTTCTCCACTTCTTTGGAATTCGGGGAGTTATGGAAATGTAAAATGGATGCCTTANACACACACACACACACACACACACACACACACACACACACAGAGTTTCAGTTATAATTTCTGCAGTACAACCTCAAATCAAGAGCCGAGCATAAGATTAAATAACCTAAGCTAGAATCACACAAGATCTGCTTCTATTTGCTGAGTTCTCCACTTCTTTGGAATTCGGGGAGTTATGGAAATGTAAAATGGATGCCTTAAATGTATCTGTGAGGACCAAATGTCTCACTTAGCAAGAGAAATTTTGGGTTTAATTGTGGTCATATGTTGAGGACTACCTGCTTAGATACAACTGGGGCTGTTTTGTTTCCTGCTTTTACTGATATTACTGTCCAGATTAAGTAAAATAAAGCAAGTGGTTAGAAAATAAAAGCATAGGTATCAAACTTTTCTTCAGATGGAAGAGGCAGAGAACAGATTCAGTAACACAGCAAGATTTTCTTTGTCATCCACCACATTCCTTTCCTGATTTTGATAATGGTTAATTCATTAAGATGGTTTATTTTAAACAGGGACCCCATTATGTTGTCAGTAAAGTTTTTAATCTTTCTTCTGTCATATAAGTGCTATAAAAATGCATTTAAGCCCACTGAGCAGAATTTGCTAATTATTTCGTTTCATTAGCCCTCCAATCACCTCAGGGATACAATTTGACAAGTGAACTTATAAGCAGAGAAGCAGGCAAAGCATGACAGGAAAAAAAAAGTTACAAAAGATGAAGAAGCAGGCCATATGTCTATTTAGAAATAGATTTTCTACTCTTCCTTTTATGTCTAAGTATTTCTGAAGTGCTTTTGGCACCTGAAGAACATAGAGATTGCTGTATTTTTGGACTCTTCATTTAAAATAGATGCTTATTTTATGATCAAACACTTGATTGTTATCCAATGGAATTCCATGGACATTGCTGGAGTTTAAATATAGCAAGACGTTAATAAGATCTTGGAGAAAAGATGTGTTGCCCCACAAATTCAATAAAAACAAATGACTGACTAATGGTATAACATAGCCTACCTTGCAGATAGGGTTAGGGAATTTTCAGCATATTCAATCTTCAGAACATTCTGAGCCTTTTTTGTTGCTGGACGGCTAACCTAGAAAGAAATGGAATTTGTTTGAAAGAAGGAAGTGTCTTAATTTATTTCCCAAATATGCAAGAGCATTTACATTTTTTTTGCATGTATCAAAGGCAACATGCTGTTCTTTGCAGATGCTTCTAAGAACATCCACATATAGAGTTGAGCTTCTCTTTATGATATAAAAGTGATGGATATCTTAAGGAAGTGAAAGCTTCTTTCATGCCCTATGAGTTCGAAGACAACAACCTGGTAGAATTTTAATATACTGTATGACCATAAAAGATGTGGAAGAAAAATTGACTCACCACATCTCAAAATAAAAGAGACTACGAAGGCACATTCTCCAAAGGAAACTTGTTAGTTTGTCCTGCTCAAATGAATATTTATGCTTGAATCACATGTCTCATTTATTGGAATAAACTTTCATGCACCTTGATCTCACTTCTTTTTTTCATAGACTCAGAAAACTTGTGCATCTAGTCTAAACCCTAGCTCGATTCAGACAGGCCAAATAGACCAGAGCATATAATAATAATAATAATAATAATAATAATAATAATAATAATAATAATAATAATAATAATAATAATAATAATAATAATAGTAGTAGTAATAATAATAATAATAATAATAATAATAATAATAATAATAATAATAATAATAATAATAATAATAATAATAAAGTTGGAAGGGACCTTGGAGGTCATCGAGTCCAACCCCCTGTTCAGGCAGGAACCCTATACCATTTCAGACAACTGGCTGTCCAGTCTCTTCTTAAAAACTTCCAGTGTTGGAGCATTCACCGCTTCTGGAGGCAGGTTGTTCCATTGGTTAATTGTTCTAACTGTCAGGAAGTTTCTCCTTTGTTCTAAGTTGCTTCTCCCCTTGATCAGTTTCTATCCGTTGCTTCTCGTCCTGCCTTCAGGTGCCTTGGAGAATATCTTGACTCCCTCTTCTTTGGGGCAGCCCCTGAGATATTGGAACACTGCTATTATGTCCCCCCTCATCCTTCTCTTCGTTAAACTAGATATCCAAACTTCTGTTTGAAACATCTATTTGAAGAGTTCTCTCAGCTTAAGAAAAACCAATCATTGTTTAGATAAATGATTCCATAGCTGAAATACTCGTGCTATTAAGAAGTTTATCCTAATATTCAATGCAACTCACCTTCTGAAAGTTTAATCCATCAGATCTAGTACATCAATCAGAATTAAAACATTTTACTATTGTGGCAATTATTTTGCTTTTTGGAGACTCTGTTCCCATTAAGTTTTTCCTTCTTCTGATTAAATATAATACATTTCTTCAACATTTTCTGACACAACTTATTTTTCATATTGTATTTTTCATTTAATCTTTCTACTTGTATACTATTATTGATTATTGTTTTTTTTGTCAACTTCAAGTGTTTAATATACACTGAAACCATCCTTTTACAATCATATCTCATTACTGAATAATGTTTAGCTTGTGTGACTAATTATAATCTAGAGATCCATTTCATGGGATATTTGCCAAATTAGCAATCCTTCATCCTATACTGGTGGATCTGATATTTTTGCCTACATTTTTTTATTTTTATTCTGTTCAGTCTTGTTGCTTCTGTTGCTTCATCTCAATTTAATTTTATATAGCATAAAAGTATTTCTGAATTCCATTCTTATTTTCTGAAGTATTAGTAACTGTTTTCAGGATTCAAATTTCATGACACAAACATTGTTGAAAATTATTGGGACGGATTCTTATGTGGCTTCAATTGAAATTACACTTCATTTTGATGAGCATCAAGTCCCTTTTCCAAAGAGGTGCGGCTGCATCTGTTATCAACATCTAGCCAACTCTTCAGTTAAGGCTTTGCTGAAACCAAAAGAAATTATGGCCATAGCATTCTGGCAACTCACTAAGTCAGAGGTGAAAAACCCTCCACACACTGAGCCATACTAAACTGAACGTGGAGATAAAAAGTAAAATAGAAGGTGAATTTCTTTCTCCTATAGCATTAGCAAATCCTAGTAGTTATGGAGAAAGAAAAACAGGAATTCTGATTGGAGAGTATATGTGTTCCATTTTATTTTAGTTTTATTCAAAACAACGAAGTTTTAGATGAACAAAATATAATAGTACATTTAAAAAAGGGCGAGTATTACCTTCATGCCAGATACAGCCAATGTGTTTTTAAGGCGATATTTGCCATCCTTCTGAGGATATGTATATAGCAGGACATCATTCATCTGTATGAAGAAAAGATAAAATCAATTATATGTAATCTTGAAACAAGTCCACGCTGATCCTGGCTTCAGGGAAATTCTAGTCTCAGACTGTTTCTTCAGAGATGGCAACATGGCAATAATGGCAAAGCTCAAACCAATACACGTTTATTTAATAAAATGGACTGAGGAAAAGAGTTGTATTGAATGCAGTGACTAACAAATTAGATAGATAGATAGATAGATAGATAGATAGATAGATAGATAGATAGATAGATAGATAGATAGATAGATAGATAGATAGATAGATGGATGGATGGATGGATGGATGATTGATAGATAGATAGACAGACAGACAGACAGACAGACAGACAGATGAAATTGTTTTAAGAAATGTGTAAATGTGTGTGTGGCTAGGCCAACAATTTGGCTGCTGTAATCTGCACCAAATACAACATTTGGACCAAGTGCAAATGTAGCTCCATGTAGATGATCTAACTGTGAGGTTACCAATGCACGAACACTTATAGCTTGGCTATCCTTATCCATGAACAGGCATTGGGTGCATATTGAACAGAATTAATAACAGGCATCCCTAGCCTCCAATTACAATTATGACACCCCTAAACCTATATACCTATTCTTTCTGAAGGAGTACAACCCATGCAGAAGAGATCAATTACCCAATTTCCAAGCTTGGGAAAACTCCCTCCCACAAAATCAGAAGATGTTGGGATTCATCTCCATTTACTGGCTCACTTCTACCCATCACTGCATCCAAAGATGTTATGCAGTTAGGACGCAATGCAGCCTCTTTTGATTTGGGTATTATGGAGAAATAGAGCAGAATGTCAACTAAATATTGGTAACTTCTTGTTCCAAAATCCCCAGTGATTCCCTCAGCTATTTCATATAGATCAATTCTTCTCAATCTCAGAGCCTTTAAGATGTGTTGATTTCAACTCCCAGAATTCCTCAGGTATATATGAACATTGCCTCTAAAAGTACTACCACTAAAAATAGTCTAAATTTTAGTCTGTATTTACATTATTCATCTTCCTTGTCTCCTTCTTACTATTCTTCATTTATTGCTGTCCCAGAAGATTATTTTTTTCTAGGTTAGCAAATATAGATTTTCTACATCAAAAAATAACCAATGGTTTCTCAAGAAAGTTTGTGTCACATTTATTTATTGCTTTGTAAATTACCCATCCTACCAATATTAATTTAATAATCATAGTATCTGACCCTGCCCTGTGATCTTATATAAATTCCAGTACTGAACAGCTCTACAAAGATAAATCTAGGTTAGTTTCTTGTAAATTGGGAATTGGCAAGGTCAAGGGAGGAAAAACCTGACTCTTAGCTATTAAAAAATAGATCATGAAAATGAATTTCCCTTGGTTGTTATAAAAAAAAGATTAAATGTGGCTTTCTAGGAGGAAATAGTACAGGAAGAATATCAAGAGAAGTTAATTTTGTTACGAAGCCACAAACATACCTTGATTTATGCAGTTATTAATTTAGTCTTTAAAATAAGATGATTTCACTGCAGAAAACAGAGATAAAAACTAGGTTGCAGCCTTCTTTGAATATGCATTGTTTACTTAATTACTGGGAAGGCTATGGCCTTTTCTTTGCCTATTAATGCAGCCACCTAGTATGAGGTCAATTCAGGTCACAGAAGAGGTAGCTAATGAAAGGCACCCTGCCATCCCATAAAATTAGTTTGCATGAAGGATTGTCAGGCTTTCCGCAGCATGCACAACATTATGCCCTGACTATATATTCTGCTTGTTGTTTTCAAAGAAAAAAAATATTAAAAAGTTCTACAAAACACAAGATATTTTAGGTAGTGATGACTATGGGAGCTAACCTACTGCACTGTTGCTATGGCAGCCATGATTATTATCCTTTGGTTTTATTAAACATTAATGATGGTTGTGCTTGTTAATTGCCTGTTAGAGTGATTTCCCATCTGTTTTGTCTTCACATTCAGGGAAATGTACCCAATGTCTCAAGTCCTACCACTATTCATGACTAGCTACCAGGAAATTCAAATTAATGCTGTTGAGCTAGCCAGGAGAGGAATGATGTTGCTAAATGTTCATGTCAGCTTTGAGTATCTACATAAAACATTTGTGTGGCTGAGATTATGTTTGTCTTTGTGGACAATTTCCATGTTATTTCAAGAGCATTACACATATTTATGTACATTACTAACAAATTGACCAAGATGTCTTTGCTAGTAATTTGGTTTTAGTCTGTTTGTGTTGCTTTATTTTTGTTGATTTTTTGCAACTGGGAAAGCTCAGCTCAATCCTTGGGTCTCTTTTTAATTGATGATGCTGAAAGTCAATATTGAAGTTTCTTCAAAATAAATAGCTTATTTTGTACAATGCTTAAAATCCAGTTAAATTGCTTCATACCTAGTTAAACTGTGTATTTATCTAGATCCCTGCTGTAACTGCTGACCAGCAGTGCCCTATATATAGAATATCAGGCATATACCTGTTATGCATGAACCACAAGATCTACACAAGAAGAGTACAGTTAGCTATTTCACAGAAATCTTCACAGATGGGCAGTCTATGCCTTGGTCAGGCTAGATAAGATTCAGCTGCATTCAAGGAGAGTTGCTCTCTTGTGTCTCTGTAAAGATTCTACACTAATTCCCTGCTTGATACCTCCCCCTGCCAGTCTCTCTCTCCCCAACATCTTTCTTTTCAACATCAACCTGATAACCTATCTAAATAAAAAGGTTACGAATTATCCTGGGGGTTTTCGTCTAAAGGTATCTGGTTTTTTTAAAAAAAAATATGGTCAATATTAACATGCTATTTGAATACAGATTCTATTTTGTTTCCTCTGATTTTTCAATAAATAATTCTTTAAAAAGCAATGTGCAGAAAATCTACAGTTGCTAAACGGATAATAGACAATTATATTTGTTTTTAGAGGTTTGCACTGCAGTCTGCAAAGTTCAATTGGGCTTACTTCAGAATAATCATACGTAAGACCAAAAGAGGAATATTTGTTGTTGTTGTTAGTTGCGAAGTCGTATCCGACCCATCACGACCCCATGGACAATGTTCCTCCAGGTCTTCCTGTCCTCTACCATCTTCTGGAGTCCATTTAAGCTCACGCCTACTGCTTCAGTGACTTCATCCAGCCACCTCCTTCTCTGTTGTCCCCTTCTTCTATTGCCCTCAATCTTTCCCAGCATTAGGCTCTTCTCCAGTGAGTCCTTCTTTCTCATTAGGTGGCCAAAGCACTTGAGTTTCAACTTCAGGATCTGGCCTTCTAAAGGCAGTCAGGGTTGATCTCCTCTAGGACTGGCCGGTTTGATCGCCTTGCAGTCCAGGAGACTCGCAGGAGTCTTTTCCAGCACTATAGTTCAAAGGCCTCAATTCTTTGGTGCTCAGCCTTTCTACTCCTTTTCAATTATTTAAATGCTACTCAGGACAAATTCCTATGATCTATGTCATTAAAAAAATAAATTAGACTCTTTCTAGCTGTTATCATATTTGATTACAGGTAGTCCTCAAGTGAAATCTATGGCTAAAGATTTCACTTTTTGAACTATTTTTGTTTATTTTTAAACTATTATAGGAAATATGTGATTATTTCTATACAAACATCCCTATTAAAAAGCTTTCCAGAATACATTCTGTAATATATGCTATATGAAGGTCTAACTTTCCAACATATGCACTGATTTTTATCATGATTCCGACAAACTCAACAACAGCTGTTCTTTCCAGGGAGCCAATTTATGCATTCTATTTTAGTACCATACCAAATGAATTGCTATTTATTCTGTAGCTGTGCAACATGGGCATTTATATTTTATGCAAATTATTTTAATTATTGGATAGAGTAGGAACCAATAGTCACATTAATAGTTCTATCATGGAATTTTTACACTTATCTTCTGGGTCAACCAACTATGCAGAATAATATTCCAAAGTTTTTCAGGAGTTTTGTTACCTGAAACCTATAAACACAGTCCTAAGCATGAGACTGCACAGGTTTGTTTTTTTCTAATGATCCAAATCATTAGCTTTCATTGTTACTCCAAATTTTACTTCATAGCAATATAGATGCCTGACTATATTATTCATTTTTGGCAGAAGAGATGAAAAACAGGAAAGGATGTCACTGGTGTATATTCATGTGCCATTAAATCCTGCAAGAACTCACTTTTGCAATATTTCCAACTGTCAAGAGCTAATTATTTCCCCCCCTGCAGTGAACAGCCAGTCTAATTTTGAGTCACAGAACTTGCAGCACAATCTAAATTCATGTTTCATTCAGAAATGGTTTTCTTTTTGTTTTAATGCACACAGCTTATAGCAATGACTTTGTCTTTGCAATTTGAATGACACAAAAAAACTACGAAAACATAATTGAAACTGAAACTAGTTATATCTCTAGCTACTGTTTTAATGCTTCAGGAAGGGATAGAAAGCAACCAAGAAGAAAAAAAACCCTGCTGCTGGTAAATTTGCCATTTAATCCCACAGCAGTTGGTATCTGAAGCCATTTACTAACTGAAAAAAGGAATGCTTTGAGACCTCCTATCCAGTGGTGGGATTCAGCCAGTTCGCCCGGTAGCTAATTTTTTGTTGCCCAGGCCCAGAATGGACTTCCGGAAGCAGCATCCACACAGAGAACCAGTTGTTCACATATCTGAATCCCACCACTGCTCCTATCATTAATATAATTTGACATGCTGTGGAACTAAGTATGTAGAAAAAAGTAAATTTGGACTGAGAGTTTAGATGAATTCAAAGTTAGTTGAATTCCTTGGAAGATTCTAGAGCAGATATTAAAGTATTTCAACCATAAATGCATTGAAAACAATGTAATGATTTTTAGAATTCAGCATGAATTTGTTAAGAACTAATCTTATCTCAATTTTCCATTGGATAACTTACTTAGTAGAATATGGGAATAATGTAGACATAATATATCTTGACATTCTAATTGACAATTAAGTATGAGCTGAATGACATATCTATTGAGTAGATATGCAGGTAATTTGAAAACCATGCTCAAAAAGATACTCATCTATTTCTCCTCACCAAATTGAGGGAGGTATCAAGTGGGGAGCCATAGGACTTGCTCTTAATCTTCTTTAATCTTTTAATGAATTGGATGAAGATATAAAGAAAATGCTTATCAAATTTTCAGACAATACTAAATTAAGTAGGTAACTAACAATCTACTTAAGAACTAAAAAAATAACATTCGAAACAATCTTGATAGAATAAAACTGGGCTTCAAATAAGAATATAAATGTAATTTAGGCCAGAGGTCCCCAACCTTTTGGACACCAGGGACCGGTTCCATGGACAGCAGTTTTTCTATGGACCAGAGAGTGCATGGTTTTGGGTACTGCCTGCACCCTGTGGATGGGGCTTTGCTTGTTTGTGTGGACTGGTTGCTGGCATGCCATAGACCGGTACTATTCCACGGACCGGAGGTTGGAGACCTCTGATTTAGGCAATCCTCAGTTAATGACCACATGTTCAGTAACTGTTCAAACTTGCAACACTGCTAACTGTACTTAAGAACAGTCCTTGAAGTTCCAACTGTTGCAGTATGCCATGGTTATCTGATCATGATTTCCATCATTTGCTGCCAACTTCTCACAAGCACAGTTAATGGGGGAGCCAGCAGGAAAATGGAAGTCATGGTCCCATGAAGTCACATGACCAATGTGATCCTTGCTTAATAACACTAATTGGAAACTGCTGGAACTACTATTGCTAAGCACGTAACATCATGCTTTACAACTGCATTACTTAATGATGGAAATTTTGGTCCCAATGTATACAAATACAGTTCCCCCATTTTGGGCAAGGAAATCAAAATCTTGGATACAGGATAGGAAATACATGACTTATAACAACACATATGAAATTGTAAATTGATCAATTACCAGCTGAATATGAGTCAGCTATGTGACATGAGTCTGCAAGATAAATGCAATTTTAGGCTGCAAAACTGAAGTATGGTTTAAATCTGCTCTGGTCATATATATGCAGAAATATCGTCTCTCTGGAATATATTTCCCTCCATCCCCCAGATTGACTCTGCTAGTCTTTCACAAGACATGAAAAACATGGCTTTGCTATTGAGCCTGAGGATCCAATAGCATGGGAGAACATATTTCATGGTTAATTTGAGTGTTTATGAGTGCTCTTGGCTGTTATTTTTGTTTTTCCTGTTTTTTTAAAAAAGAAATCTCAATATTTTTATTGTGTTTTACCTCTTTTAATTGTTACCCATCCAGTCATATATATGAGATAGGTAAAAGATAGAAGGTAGAGGAGTCCCTGAAGATTTTATTTCACTAGTTTTTGCCAACTATAGAGGGCAGTGCTCATTTCTGTTTCAAGCCATTGATCCAGCACTGTACGAAGACATTTCTGTGGTCATGTGGCCAGCATAGTGTCATGGAGTGCTGTTACCTTCCCAGTGAAGTGGTACCTATTTATCTACTTTTGCATACTTTTGAACTGCTAGGTTGAGAGGACATTTGCATACTTTTGAACTGCTAGGTTGAGAGGACATTTGCATGCTTTTGAACTGCTAGGTTGGGAGGACCTGGGGCGAGGAACAGGAGCTCACCCCATTGCATGGTGCTCGGATCTTGAACCTGGGTTGTCAGCTTTCCAGCCTACAAGCCCAGCATCTTAACCACTGAGCCACCTCTGAGATATGCAGCCTATTAACTTATTAAATAAATATTTATTAAAAATTTTAGGGAATAACATCCAGACGAGCATTTATATGGTGGCAACATTAAATTGGAATTCTGTTTATTTATAAGCAAGTCCCACTGTGTCCAATGCCATTTATTCCCTAGGAAATATGTTGCTGATTGCCAGCCTTATTTGCAAAGATCCATCCATGTACATCTGACTGCATGTTAATTGAGAGTAAAAACAAAATCTTACCAAGAATAAATGTCGAGGATGCCTATTTTTCCCAGACACTTTCATTAACGTCCCTTCTTTAAGAAATATCTGAGGAAGAAAATAGAGGCACTAATACATCTTTTCTTGTTTACATTCAGTAATTCAACACATGATACAACTCTAGGCACTCATTAATTGCCTTTTAAATTAAAGAGAAATGGCTTAATCAAACCCTAAAGTTTGCAGGGTCATACTGTGGTGAATATTGACAAATTATCAAGGGTATCAGATCTATTGAACTCAACATTTACTGGACTGAACCTCAAATCTTTATATAATACTGTTGTTCAAAAAGAACTTACTCTTCCTGGTTGTAGAAGGTTGCTCTGTCCCTTGACACTGTGCTCTATATGTACCAATTTCTGCAAATTTTCCTGTGGACAAAAAAGAAGCAAATAATGGGGTTTAATAGAAATTTACTACATTTAATGCACATGATATGCTTCTGCTTGAATGAAGGAAAGCAAATGAAATATAGCACCATCAATCTCTGCATAATGTGATTAATAAACAAAGAAAATTCTAGAGAAATAGAATAGTGCAAGAATACAGTAAGGATGGGATCCGGATCCAGATTGGATTACCTTTATTTTCTTTAATAATATCATTCATGCAAGTGGGAACTCCACGAATGTGTTTTGCTTGCTTTGGCCCTATCATTGGGGGTGGGGAAGGGCTGTGCACATAGTCAAGATATTCAATAGATTATACTGTTATAAATTGAATTTTAAGTGAGAAATTTTATATGTAACGTCTACATTCACTTCATTTTTCATAAAGTTGGATGTTTTTGGCTGCTTGGAACAGAAATAATTTCCAGCTGTGTTGGGTTTCTGGTGATTCACATTCATGTAGTGTTCATGGCAACAGTATGCAATGGCTTCCCTCTGCATTTTTTAAAAAAATCCTATTTTGCCTATAGTCTTGGGAGTTACCTGGCATTAAACAGAGTTTGAGTTTGCTTAGTTTCCAAAGCTATTCAGGCTCTGCCATCTGCTGAGGCAGATGCACTCTGCCTTGAATTAAACTTAATTTTTAATTTTTTAGAATATTTTTGTGAAGTTTTCATTTATCTTTCCAGTCTACATTTCACTTTAGGATTCCATGTTGGTCTGCTCTTAAGCTTTCAAGTCAAGCCAAGATGGGTAAACTGTTATCTGTATCATTAATAGGATCAGCTTTATTTTTCGTCCATTAGTAATAGTGTTACAGCTGTGGTCCTAACAGGTAATAGTAACACATTAAATACACCATAAAATTTGGCCTCCTTTTCAGAGATCAGAATTTACCAGACTCTCACCCTATTGACTATGTACCAATGTTGAAAAGGTTGGACACAATCAATGAGCACAAACGAGCTGTAAAATCTCACTATCTAAAATGAGACTAATGAGGCCTCTGTTGCTACTAAAGAGATAGGACTGGATGGCACGTAGATACAAAAAAGATGAGATTTAATGAATTACAGTCATTATATTCACAGCTTCAGTTCGCTCTCATGATGTCTCAACCCTCAGGTCTCTGTTGTTTGTGATTCCTTTGAAACCTTTTAATCACCCAGATGGTTTGTAGGGGCTGTGAGTCTATGTGCACGTTCAGAAGGCTCCTACTAGCATTGCGAATCAAAAGACACTATGTAGAGATTCCCTCCGTGCTTCTTTAATGGGCCATTTGTGGAAAGAAAAGAGAGGGGGGAGGGAGGGAGAGAGAGAGAGAGAAAGAAGGAAGGAGGGAGGCAGGGAGAGAGAGAGAAGGGCTGCTTTTATTCTTAAACTGCATGTAAGAATTCTTCCACTTCCTATGCTCATACAAACAAAAGCTGGTATATTCCAGTCCCGGGGAGGGTAATTGTCAAGGTTGACTCAGCCTTCCATCCCTCTGAGGTCGGTAAAGTGAGGACCCAGATTGTTGGGGCAATAAGCTGGCTCTGTAAACTGCTTAGAGAGGGCTGTAAAGCACTATGAAACAGTATATAAGTCTAAGTGCTATTGCTACTGCTATTGTCCAATAATCTTTATTTAGATTGCTCTAGATGTAGCAGTTGCTCTAGAGCAGTCATTGTTAGAAATCCTTAGATAGGGACGGGGCTCACTCAACAAGGGGGGAGGATCTGAGGGATACAATAAAGATGGGATTGATTGATGATGCTGATTATATGTCATCAAATTGTTGTCAACTCCTAGCAACCAAATATATTTTCTCCATGATAATCTGTCCCTAACCTGGTCCTTCAGCTCTTATCACTACTGTAATTGAGTCTTCTCTGTTGTTGTGGTGGTGGTTTTTAAAATGATATGCCTATTTCATGGGCAATTTTTGTATACTCCATCTCAAAATGGCAGGAACTGGTATCAGAAACGGAGGAGGGTAAACAAGGTGAAGAATCGGCTATAGAGCATCCTAGATGAAGCAGATTATCTGGAGCCCTTTTTAGTCAGTATTCAGACCTGGACCTGGGATGGAGACAACTTTCAAACAGAGTTAAAGAAGTTTCTTGGATGAGAAGCAAAACGTCTTCAAAGAAAAAACAAGAAAGTCCAGTTGTTTCGGGAAAAAACACCTTTGAGATAACTATGACCTAGATGACTGAGAATCTCCATAGACATTTGGTCACATTAGTAGATGACTTTTGTCAGGATCTGTGCTTATCCTGGTTCTAATAAGCCTCTCAATAGCTTTTGATATCTTCCATGGTAGTTATCTGGATTGCCTTTGGGGATTAGAGGCATTATTTTGCAGTGGTTCCACTTGTCCCTCAGTGGATAGTTCAACCCAATGGTGATATGAGATGAGATGCTGTGATGCTGTGGGGGTTTGTCCTTGTTCTTCCTGTTTAACATCTACATGAAACGACTGGGAGAGATCATGCATTGGTTCTGGGTTCAATAACACCAGTATGCCAATAATATTCAGCTTTACGTTTCTACCATGAGTAATACTGATGAAACTGTAGACCTATCCTGAGATCCGGAAGCCTTGATGAGGAAAAACATGCTAAAATTGAAACCTACCAAGACAGAGTTATTATTTGTCCATTGAGGTTCTCAAATAATTCACATGGCACATCTACACTGCAACCTTAAGCTGTTTCAGTACTGTGAGCTACCGCATCCTCCCATTGGACAATTTCCCTGCTGTTGTGCTCTCCCATTACTTTGTTCTAAAAAATCAATAACCAATCATTTTCATTTCTATGGACAGGACTTGCTGGACATACTGTAAATACTTTAATGTGTGAGTATAATATTATATCACACACACACACACACACACAAAGTTAAAACATCAAAATGCACATATATTGTCATACTTGAATACACCATTATTTTAAGCCTCTTATGAATTATTTCATTTTTAACAATAAATAATCAAGATATTGTTGATTTATAATTTCTGAAATCAGGACTTAGCACTCACCCCTTGTTGTATGCTATCATTGGCTCTATCTGTAAGTTCTGATATGATAAGCAAGGCCCCTGCAATGCAATGGAATAACATATGAATTTATGAAACTTATAAAGTAAAATTATGTATTATTATTATTATTAATTATTTTTTACTGCAGCCATCTATGTAAAGGGCTTTCAGCATTCTTTCAAAACAATACCTTTCCCCAGGAGAACAAAGGCTTTTTTTAGTATAAATATATTGTTTCTATTGTGCAAAAACCGTCATAGTTTAAACATAAGAGTTGATGTTTTATAATCTATTATCTCATTCTACAACCTAAAGAATTAATTCTGCCTTTGCTGCTACAAAATAAAAAGAATAATTGTTAGAAAGAGCTGATATTAGAAATAACAGGATGATCTTTCCACATTCATTCCACATATATTACTATAAATATAAACTGCCTGCAATTAAGGTATTAGAAGTTTCTAATGTAGCCACCCCTTTTCCATATGGTAGAAATAATATAAAAAGATAAAATAGAAGTTCCATTCTAATTCTACAATCTCATGAATCATAAAACAAAAGTTTCTCTTTTAACTCAGAGATTAAGTTTTCTGCTACATATGCTTAAAAGCCTAATTCAGGCTAAACTTCTCTTTTTTGTCAATATAGTTGACAAAGTTAAGTTTGAATCAGAATACTTGTTAAGAGCCTTTTAAGAGTGTGTGGAATTTTCAAACAAAGTCCTTATCACACATCCCACAAATTTAGTCTCCTAGGTTCTTAATCATGAAGATAAAACCTAAAAAATTCAATAAGGACATTTAGAATTCAAAGTCATATCCTCAGTTATCAGAAAAGTAGGACTTAGCAGAATTTTTTATTAAATAACCATTAGACATGCTCTTCATTCTAGATAGCCATTCTAGAATGAAGTGCATCTAATCTAATGAATTCTGATTTCATTAAAAATTCAAAACGAGTAGATGGCGTCAACTCAAAGCAACATGAACTTTGCCATTCCCAGCCCTGGGTAAAATGAGGTTGTGTAAAATTACCTTGTGTATCTTCATATTCAGCAGAATCAGGGCAGAGATTATTCAAGTAATCTGTGGGGAAAATAGGATTAAACATGTGTCGGAAATCTCAGATTGTTTTTGATCTGCGAATTAATCTAACTACAATTATCTAAATAGCAGAGTTAAGATCAGCGTCTCAGGGTTCGTGGCCCAGAGTCATAGGATGCTACAGACCTTCTTCTCGATGAAATGGGACCCATCTCCAGAAAAGTCAAACTCAGCCTATCTCCTTCTTCTTCCTTCCCATTTCCTAAATTGTCCCTCAATAAAAGAGGGAATATACTGTATATCTTCTGGAGCTTTATTTTTCTTCCATTAACTCCTGTAATATCATTGTTCTGCTTGGCATGGCCCACAGATTCCTCACTAACTGCCCCATAACACATTTGCCAACTTTGTCTCAGGAATCAGCCAAAGGCATACACAGCTGAAAGGATGGACAACTTTATAACAGCAACAATAACATGGTTCCACATAGTTTTCCTGCATCATGTTCATTGTTTGATTTTAAAAATTGTAACAAAGTTTAATTGCACTTTTCCACAGAGCCTGAGACACTGGAATGCTTTTTCACACTGTTTTCAGCTTTAATTATATTGCTGCTCAGCCAAACTCAAAGCTGAAATTATTATTGTTAGGCTTCACATCAGGACTTGGCAATAAATCAGAGCTGCCCAGACATTTAAGTCCTTATTCAGCACTTGGATTTTGTTGGCAGGAGACTCTTGGACATGCCAGATAGGCATGTTATGCTAAACAAGAATGAAGCCTTGAACACAATGGTTGCCTGACCACTGCAATGCAAAGAAATCACAGATGCTATATACCAGGGGTGTCAAACTGCCAGCCCGTGGGCCGGATGCATCATGCCAAAACTGCGCCCACCCTATTGCTGGCAATGGAAAAAAAGTCACGATACATCGCGACACGTCACGTGACGTTGTGAGTTTGACACCCCTAATATATACTGTATCTCTGATAAATTCTGTCTGTCTGTCTACCTGACTGCCTTTCTCTCCCTCCCTCCCTCCCTCCCTCCCTCCCTCCCTCTCTCTCTCTCACTCACACACACACACATCAAATTTATGTACCGCCCATTTCACCCAAGTAAAACAAAAGCCATACAGCTATATAAAAGGGACACAGATAAATACACAGTTAAAAATAGGAGTAAAAACACATTAAAAAGTTAAAAAGGCAGACAGAGCTCCCTCAAGTCACAAAACACTCTCAGAGCCACATATCACTCTTGGACCCCCTAAGGCAGTTGGCAGAGCCAGGTCTTAACCCTCTTTCAGAAGTCCAGCAGAGTGGGACTTAGGACAGGGGCTATGGCAGAGAAGGCTCTCTTTCTAGATCCTGCCAAATAAAATTCTTTGATTGATGGGGTCCATAACATATCCTCCCTGCCTGATTGGTGGGACAGGTTGATGTAATTGGTACAAGATGGTTCCTCAAGTAGCTGGTTTCATAAAGGGCTTTAAAGGTCTAACACCTTGAATTGGACCCAGAAGCAAATTGGCACCCAATACAAGTCAATAGTAGAGGTGTTACATATGCAACTCTCGGGGTGCCCAAAACTGTCTGTGCCACTGCTTTCTGCACCAGCTGTAGCATCCAGATATTTATTCTTCAAGGGTAGTCCATGTACAGCATATTGTGTTAACCCATGGAGATGACCAAGACTGAAAGAAAGGCTTCTCAATTTAGAAAGAGCATAACTGGTGCGCAAAGTTGGGCAAAAGCCCTCCTAGCCACAATTTATTTATTT